GATCTTCCCCCCCCCCCAAAAAAAAAAACATTAAAATACGCGGATCTTGAAGTGGAAATCTAAAAAAGTGTTGCACATGAGGACATTAATAATTCTAGTTTTAGTTGGAGCCCTTGGATTAATTGGAAAATGTTCCGATAGACTCATTGAAGAGATTCTTTGTAACCCATGCCGTAACGAAATACGAAAAAATTCTACCAACAATTATCGTTCACACACTACGAAGAGCATTTTCTATGTAATATGTGTGCGGTCTATGAAGAAAGTAAATTGCTATGAAGACAGTTTTGGCCATAGGTCTCTGGTTGGGACGCAGAAAAAAATATGTATTCAACAGAAATCCAAGGAAGAAAAAACAGCAACAACAACAATAATAATAATAATAATAATAATAATGAAGAAGAAGAAGAAGAAGAAGAAGAAGAAGAACAACAACAACAACAAGGGATAGAACAAGTGAAATAATAAGAAGAAAAAGAACAAAAACAAGAGTAAACAGAAGAAGCAAAACAAAAAGAAAAAAATACAAGAGCAATAATAATAATAGTAATAAAGAAATATATAGACAAAATATTTATTTATCAGTGTTCGAGATTTCGCAGATTCTGAAATCTACCCAACGGATTTATTTTTAATTTATTTTCAAATATATTTTTCTTAAAAGACGATATACATATTTTTTACATAGTTTGACTTGTATCTAGTATTTCAATAGAAATCGCATTAATTCCTAGCTTACGAATAAAGAAACGCATACTAAAATCTTTGAGAAATATTATTTCCAAATCTATATCACGTTAGTGCCCTTTACCCCCAAAAAATAAGATATATGAAAAATAATTAAATCTGATGAATCTGCGAAACACATAAACATTACATACCGATGTACGAAATTTTTAAAGTTGAGAAAGACGTACCATTGCGTCAATCCCACTCTCTGCAAAAGAAAAGCTTGTAAGGAAAAGGTAAAACAAATCAACAACATTCGATACTCTCAAGCCGCAGATGTAACATCGGCGTTTTGATTCTGCTATTTGGATAACTTAACGAAATCTAAAGAGTTAAAAACATCCACTGGGTACATCGCTCAGCTGGGTACCAACCCAAGTATTTCTACATGACTGAGACCTGCGTTTGGTAGCCATTGGTCACAAGAAAGGATTAATAGTGACCTAAAGGATTAACATCCGTGGATCTTACGGGATAGATAGATAGATAGATAGATAGATAGATAGATAGATAGATAGATAGATAGATATGAACAGACTGCGATTAGATAGATAGATAGATAGATAGATAGATAGATAGATAGATAGATAGATACACATATGTATCAATGCAGAATAATTAATGGCTAGACAAATTTCCCAAAATTCACCAAATGGTAACTCATCAGATGTTATTCATTTTGGAAATAATATTTCGACAGCATCGAGGGATAGTTATTTCCATGATACTTTCATTTCAGCATGTGCTTATATATTTATATTTATGTTTTTGTTTTTTTTATGAAAGCAAAACCTGCCACATTTGACGTCAATTTTCAGATGGAATAGGAAGTTTTCACACTGGCAAGAATTCTCGTTTCAAATATGACTGAAGATTAATGACGTCTCTCAAAATACCGTTTCAATATGTAAATCTAATGATAGATATAACAGTAAGTTCTATGCTAACAGTTCCTTCAACTGTATTTTACCTTTGTGAAACTCTCTTCCAGTTTATTGCTTCCCGTCAACACATTGTCTTCAAAAATTAAATTTCATTGTCAGTCGTTATCTTCTTCATTCTTGTTCTGCCATTATTCTCTCTTCTTAAGAGTATTTTCCTGATAGTCTCTTACATACGGCAATGCCTTGAGCCATAGTGGCAGCATTGCTTGGCTTGGGGTGAACCGATTAAAAAAAAGCCACTAATTAAAATTACGCCATATATATATAAGACATGTCTCATTTAATAATTTGAACAAGTGTTGTCTAATTATTTTTAATAGTATCCTCTCGTAATTACGAACAGATTAAGTAGTATCCTTAGTAGAGGATGAAAGAACATTACCATGTTGATGCATATTCATTTTATTCCGAGTAATTTGGACATTAGTACAATTAGCACAATATCGGCATCAGGGTCTTATATGTTCTAATACAAAAAATTGCTGTGTTCTTAATTTTTCTAAGACAAAATTGTTGTGTACATCTGAAAATTTATGTTTTTACGTGTGTAGTGAAAGGCACTAAGTTTATGTAATGTACAATTTTAAATTGTATCATGTTGGTTCACGTGCTTACGTCAAGGGAGTTAACTAAGTTATTGTAATGTTTAAATATTTTTTTCAAAAGAAAAACCTATTTAAAATTATTATATACAACCTTGATATTTTAACTATCTACTGTAAACCTTTTAAACCATTTATGAAATATTCATAATTTTATTACGAGTTGTTTTTAATTTTTACAATATATAGCTGATTCCATATTCATGGGGGGAAGATAGCATATTTTATCTATCTTACCAAGCGGTATTTTGGAAGGTACATGCTGATTGATTCTAGTTTCCAAATGCAAGGTTGTACGCCCCACATAACCAGCAGCACACTGGCAATTAAACTCATACACTAAATTACTCAATTTGATGTAGGGCAATACATCCTTGCGAAAAGACGGAAACACAGACCTAGTACGAAAAATGCTACGTAATCGGGTATTGCTCAACATTTATTTGAGAATATAGCCTGCGCCATGTCGTATAAAAAAGAGTGGTTTAAAATTATTCATACAGCCGATTCCAACAATCATTTGAAGATTTTGGAATCGGTCTGCATAGGATTAAGGAAACCTTCTCTCTACCGGCAGAAAGAATTTGTAAAGTCTCTTAATCTGTTGGGGGATATTTTATTTTAACTGTCCCTCGCTAATTTATTTACACGTTATTTCCCCTCCCCTCGTTACAAGTATATACACTTGTTTGTTATTTTAGTGTGTTTCCCCCCTTTTTTGCTCTTCATTGTCGTTAATATTCTTTTCGTTGATTAATAAACCAACGATTGTCTCCTGATGAGATGTTGGTTGAAAGGGCCTGAGAGTCTTTTAAAATTAAAATCAATACATTCCTTGTTTTTAAAACCCTCTCTCGCTCTCTCTCTCTCTCTCTCTCTCTCTCTCTATATATATATATATATATATATATATATATATATATATATATATATGTGTGTGTATTAGTACATAAAGCTGAAAGTGATTATTTGTGTGCTCCTGTAATTTTGAGACAGAGGCAATTAGAAAGTGATAAATGGGAAATTGGATAGAGATCGAATTACCTAAGAAATCGAAGCCGTGCTAAATACGTGGAATATATACATTTATATTTATACAAATTCCATTGAAGACGATTTTATATTGAATTCATCTTCCATTCGTATAAGTATTTACTTTTTTGAGCATAATGTGTGTAAAATACCTTTCAAATGTTCTATAAAAACAAGCGATATCACCTATTCATTTGTAGGATACATTTTCTTTTTAACTGTAAATGTAGATTTATACATGCATACATACATACATACATACATACATACATACATATATATATATATATATATATATATATATATATATATATATGTGTGTGTGTGTGTGTGTGTGTGTGTGTGTGTGTGTGTGTGTATCTATCTATAGGGATTGGAAAGTTTCTTTTTGTTTTTTGTTTTTATTTTCCAAACATTATCAGCATGTTCATATTTTAAATTATTGAATAAAGAATTTTTCTTTTTTGTTATCAATAAATCAATGAGTTACATTCACGTTACTCTTGGAAAACTAGGTATACAACTACTTACCTCAACTTTGGTTTATAAATTAAAAAAAATATATATTGTTATTGTTCAAAAGTTCATTTTTAATGCAATATTCACTGGCAAATGAGAAATTTTCTTTCAACCCAAAATGTGATTCAATTTTAAACAACCCACAAATAAATCAGTCAATCAATCTAACCAGATCAAGAATCTTTTCCAAAACAAAATATAATAAATAAATACAAATATAATTTATTCATATTTTCAGATATAAGTTGGACTCAATCATTTTCTGTGACCCCAGCTATATAAAATTCTCTGTGTGTGTCTGTTTGTAAAATAGGTTTCTCATTTCCACGCTTATCGCTCAGTCTAGTATCGGTAGGAAGTTTTATATTCGCATTGTGCATTTAGCGTGAAAAGTCAACTTCATCAGTGTATCATGATTTCCATTTCTAATTATATGTTCTCTATTTTTAGTCTCCGGACTTACGGTCAGATCACGGTCGAGCACGGGTTCTATTCGATCACACTTAAGCAACGTCGAGCCTGGCCAGTACCTAGATGGGTGACCGCTTGTGAATACCATGCGCTGTAGGCTTGGACGTGCGGGTCGTGTAATGTTAAAAGTTCGTTATTGCAAATCAGAGAGCCTAGTTACAATTCCCGCTGGGTTGGCTTTATTCACTTACGGGCAAATGCACTTGGGAAAGGTATGAATGCAGTTCTACTCTCCCCAGCTATGGGTTAATTAGTAAGATTTGTAACATTGAAATCATTATTATTTACATCCCACCACGACTCCAAAATTCTTACAATGTAAATATATTCTCTGATTTTAATTAACCTACAAAATGTTGTTAATCCTTAGAAAACGAATATATCAAAGAATCTTCTGTTGTTGTTGGAAGTCCTCGCGTAATATGATTCTCGATGTTTGGTAAGTTCTTTGTTCGAGATTCTGCAGCTGCAGTCCATACAACCCGATGAAGCACCGTTTCTTTAAAACCTAGATGTTGCATTCTCTTGAAGCCATTTTAAACATTGATTTAAGGAAATGGTTTTATATTGTTTATATTTTTGACATTGTTGTAGAAGATATTTCAAATGTGACTGGATAAGAGCGAAATACAAAGAAAAGACTACTAAACATTCATGTGATATCCGCCATCCTATATGACACTGAATGCAAATGACATTATCACGTTGTAACACCAGATCTCCTATGATCACCGAAATGAAGCATAGTCGCCCTTTGTCAGTACCTAGATGGGTGACTGCTTGGGAATATCACATGCTGTAAGATTGCGGGAGTGGTAATGGATAACGGCTCGTAAAAGCAAAGAGCCAAGTTCCAATTTCCGTTGTTATATTCACATAAGAGCGAACGCCCATTGGAAAGGTATGATTTCAATTCTTCACCCAGCCAGCTATGGGTTAATTAACAAAATTTGTATCAGTAAATCATCATTATCTCCTCAAAATGTTTCTGGCTTTAAATAAACTGCTAAAGGTAGATAAGCCGTAAAAAAAAATCTACGTAATCAATAAATCAATGATAAATTAGATAGAGGATTAAGACACCATATGGATAGTACTGCAGTATGAAGCTGAGAATTTCATAGACTGAAAATTTGAGTAATGAGTAAGTTTAAGAGAAAGAAAAAACAAACAAAAGACATTTATAATTAGAATCAGAAGAATATGACAGTTGAAATTTCAAGAGCAAATAATAGCAAATCACCAATTTTAGATACAATATATCCAGGCCTGTTTGATTTATATCTCTCCATTCGATTGACGCTGTGCTGATGTCAAATAAAAAGAACATAACTGTTGTTTACCTGATTATTCAGGTGCGACAACCGGAAATATAGTCAGGTTTAATCTGAGATCTCAGACGGAGCCATGCGAAAAAAGACAAAACATGCCAAATTCAAAAGCACTCTTAAACTTTTACAATTAGTGCAATCGAAAGGTTTTGCTTTATGGGATATATAATCAACGACGAGGTATGTTTCAACTGGATCTCGCCCGAAAATTAATCCAGGTAAAAGACCGAAAAGCGATAACGCAAAATAGCTTAACGTTTAACAGAACGGAAAATCAAATCAACATACGGAGTTCAAATCCTACCAGAGATTATTTATCTTCACTTAACAACAATTCACGTTGTACCATCAACAAAAAACTTCAGAAAATATGCCACGTTACAGGTATACCGCACTAGATGACATAATTGATCAAGCGTTGAAAGCGGGAACATGCAAATTCAATCTTGAGATAGAGTAATTTCTGTTAATAGAGTATTTCGTCATTAATATTGAACAAGAAAAAAAACTGTGAAATTACATTCTTACAACTGTAGAGTTGCAGCTCAGACGATACACCAGATATGTTCGCAATGTGCAGTTTCATTCAATCAAAATCTTGTGGATTAATGTCTGGGAAATAATGCTATCACCAGATCGGTGACCACAAAATAAAACCATGAGTCAAGATTGTAGCAGACGGCAAGTTTTATTCTGTTGCCACCTTCTCGTAATTGCTGGCTGCAGACGAGGGAGGAAAAGTATGACGAAGCGAGTGGTGGGTGGCGAACGTTCTAACCAGCGTGAGCTTTTAATTTCGTATGGCTGGTGAGCGGTCCTTTTTTATTTTGGCTTCAAGGAACGACTGTTTTATAGATAACAATCCCTCTCCGTCCTTCATCAAGAACACAGTGTTCTAAGTGACCTTCATTCAGTTGACCCACTTTGTCAGGATCAGCTGGCCTAATTCTGGTGATGTCCGCTAGTTAGATCGATAGATGAACGGTTACTATATTGTTTAGATTAAATATAGTTTTGAATTTTGAGACATGGTAAAACAATTCCCAGTACTCTAAATGCTTATGTGTGTCAAATACAAGAGATCTTCTGATTAAATTATTTTTTTTATTCCCCACCACGCAAGGGTACGGTTATTATTTGGCATGTCACGCTTATTATTTTCCAAAATTTTAGATGACACTACCATCTAATATTCGTAAATACCAACACACACAACACACACACACACACACACACACACACACACACACACACACACATATATATATATATATATATATATATATATATATATATATATATATATAATTATTCCAAGGTTTAAATATGCAGCGCTAATTGAGTCTACTTCAAATTAGCCTTCTGGCATAATAGTGCTCTATGCCATAGAAATGACAGACCATTTGAATATTAATTCAATAACCAGGTAGGCAATGTCTGGCCACTACTTTCATGTTTTTACACACAATCATCTTGTAGTCATGTAATATCCGGTATCCTATATGATATTTATGCCTATTACACACACAGATACACACACACACACACATATATATATATATATATATATATATATATATATATGCCCAATTTTGCATATTAATTGAAACAGCCACTTTAGTTTGCTTTCTTTTGCCAACTGCCAGTTTTAGACACACTGATTAGGACATTTACAGTGGTGTGCAGTAATATGAATCTATTTTTGGTGTGTATCATGAAACTTGTTTCACCTTGAAAAATACTGCATCATCCAAGATTGCATCAGATTTTAATCACACCCAGATACTATTGGCTCGACTGTCGATTAGTTGCCATACGGCGAGTGTCTGCAATGCACGTACGAAAATTGTAACAGACTGGCAAGCCTTTGCAGTGAGCAAATCAAAATACTATAGACTGGTCCGGAAACACTCCTGATTTAAATCCAATCAAGAATCTGTGGTGAATCTGCATGGAACGACAGTAGTAACATGTGAACTGGGGCATGTCTCATTGGAAAAATGCAAAAAAAAGAGTAAATAATAACGGAATTATTAGTTGTGTTTCATTATTTTCACAAAGTGAATATATATATATATATATATATATATATATATATATATATATATATATATATATATATATATATATATGTATATGTATATATATATATATATATATATATATATATATATATATATATATATATATATATATATATATATATATATATATATATATATATATATATATATATATATATATATATATATATATATATATATATATATATATATATATATATATATATATATATATATATATATATATATATATATATATATATATATATATATATATATATATATATATATATATATATATATATATATATATATATATATATGTATATATATATATATATATATATATATGAAAAAAATTAATTTTTTAAATAATATGTAGAAATTCCACTTTTTACCTGAAGACGGTCGAGACCAGAAACACGTGTCGTAAAATTATGTAAAACAAAGCATAATATTTTTTCTAAATAAATCCACATTACAACCAAAAAACGTTAGCGGCACCTCTCTTCTCTTGTTTTTTTATATATATATATATATATATATATATATATCCCACAAAACGCCTATTCGAAATGGCACCCTTATTGCATCAGTTTAAAAACTTTCGACTAGTTCGACTCTTGTTCTTAGTCTCAAAGTCTGCTATTGAATCAGTCCATGCAAAATTATCTTCGGTATTCAACTCCGGTCGTGTATATTTGCTGTTTTTTGTTTTGCTTTAAAACTATGTCTGCAGATTATGAAATCATTTTTTCTTTTAATCTAGCGACATTGAAATGCTTAAGGACATAATGCTCTGTTCTGGTGTCTTCTGCAGAATGAGTAAAATGATCAACAACATCGATTTGCATCTTTTATGGCTGCTGAAGCAACAAGAATCCTTTCAGTAATGATATTTAAATCATTTTTCATTTACAAACTACGTTTACTTCTCGATGGCTCCTATATAAACTGTGAGGTTTATATTAGGTATATGTGAGACATTATTATCTTTTGATATCTCCCACCGTTTCCGTTGTTCAGTCGCTGGCCTTCATCAGGTGTATATTGCTGCGGTTAACCTACAGCAAATTTCGTACTGAACACTTTATTTAATATTTTACGTGAATAGACTGTTCTCGTTCCATTACCCATGTCTAGCTAGCTTTTATTTTTAAGATATTGCTCGCTCTGTTTTCTGAGTCCAAATATACACTGTCCGGGCCAGTAACAGAATTCACAAGTAATATAACACCAAATTCACGAAACAACGTTTTGCTCCATTAATCTCGTGTGAATATTTTCTGTGGAGTACTTGAAGATTTAACACTACAGCAATGATGAGGCCAGTAGTCTGTATGTAAATGTCCGATCCCAGAAATTCAGACAGAAGATATTTTTCATGAGAAAATATGCTTAATACAGAGTTCGAAAGCAGAAATTAGAAGGTTACTTTTTGAATGATAATGATGATTGAGGTTGTGGCATGAATAAAAGTTTGGTTGGAAATCAAGATTATCTCATACATGCTAAATGTATTCTTTTTCATCAGGATATTTATATTGTATTCCCGCACACACATAAAGTGTGTTTCACAATTTTTGAAACAAAATGATCGGACACAAAATCAAGGACCACAAAAACAGAATAATGGAAATTACATTTATTGAAAGGTAAAAGCAGAAATGTCTATAGTCTGCAACACTTTAGTCTCAAGAATGAACCAAATAGTCAATCGGAGCTATAGAGTATATGCTCTAGATATCCGCCTCAATTGAAGGCCCTGTTGAATACAAACTTGTTCATAACGCATGAACATTCCTCCTGGGTGACAGCTTGAATCTTCTCAGTGATGACAGCCTTCAGTACTGCAATGTTGCGAAGTTTGCCCTAGTAGATGTTGTCCTTAAACCTAACAGGAATAAATCTGGAGGTTGGTGGTAAGGCCAGCCGAGTGAGGTGCCAATTTTAATTCAGTTCTGCAGCTGATGAGACACTCCCTAAACATTTCACGGAGCCATGCCATGGAAATACTAGCAGTGTGCAGAGGAGTGCCATTCTGCTGGAAACCACTGTTCCTCCTCATCAAGGTGATCTTACTTCTCAAGCTCTCTCCATCTGAGAGGCCGCTACTTTGTTTGAACAACAGTGAAACACCCAGTGTACGTATGGAGGTGCATGAATATATACGCATGCACGAAGATATTGTGACTGTGTATACGTGTGCCTGTTTGCACACGGTTTCTGCTCAGGAATAAATGAATATTCACATTTGTTAAAATTAATCTCTAGTCTCAAGCAAGTTGCGAAATATCAAACGTAGAATGACAGTTTGACATTTGCGATAATATGTCATAGAAATAAAAATGAAGGTAAAAATGAAATATGAATGGTGAATGAAGCCGTTTCGGTCAATCACTGGTCGA